TTATTGTTAAGTGCGATTACCATTGGTTGACATTTTAAAGAGCATTATTCACTCTTTGACATTTTTTTATGTCTAGACTATCATTCTGGCTGGCTTTCATCATAAAAGTTGGCACTCAAGCTTACCTGTTTGATTTACCACATTCCATGTAGCATGCAAAATTGGAGAAAAAAGGAATTAACTGGAACGGCAGTGAGCGTATTTTTTTGTGATGGAGAACGAACAGTGTCGAAGAAAAAACGTAGGGGCTGATTAGGCATATGAAATTATACAGAGTGAATACATCTGTGTCCCTAAAAACGATTTGGAGTCACGACTCTACCTAATACTGTGCGCTAAACTTCAATATTACTTGCCACATTACACTAATTAACATAAGAGATGGAGCACAGACACCCCCGTCCAAACGCCAGTAGTCCTTTTGTACCTCCCAGCTTCATTCGTCACTTCGCACAACCTAGGGGGGCAGTGACATCAGCATATTCTGAAGAGAATGATCACTGGATAGTCCCTAAAATCAATGAGAGACGATTCTACAACTGCATGTATGAGGAAATTAAACTGAAATAAGGACTACTGCCAATGTATTTGAAGAACGAACGATCAGCTCATGGTTGTTTGCTCAAAAGCAACTCCATATTTTGGCGGGAGTCACCGATACTGCAGTCATCATCCCATCGTACGCTGTTCGTTAGAAGACGCAGAAATACCATCGGAAGTATTATTGTGATTAATTGTTATGACATTTATTCTTAGACTTTGTGTATAATAACCTTATGGTTGGTTCCCTATTGGTGCAAGAATAAGGGATTCATGAGTCACCACGTTGGTTATTACACATTGTTGCTGAAGGTCTTCTAAGGACAGCGAAAAGTCCAGTGTAGTTAGATCTGGACATTGACAACTACAGTTGTATAAATTTAACTTGTATTACATCCTTCTTAGAAAAATGAGTGTCATCATAGTTTAATATAGATGAACAGAATGGAATCTGTAGGATTCCTGAAATTCCCAAAATGTCGTACTCCTTTTTAGAAAAGGCTAATAAGCTTTTCCCCAGCAAAGTGAGGAACGAATATTGTGGTTGCGGAAACTCAATAAATTATGGACTGCTGCCAGTACAGATGGCAACAATTCATGGAATTATGAGGTATAATTTCAGCTTGATCGTAACATTCAGCAACTGTTAAATGGTCACAGGACGAACACAGAATCTATATAGGAAGTGCATAAGATTTAGTAAAGCATTCACACTTTTGATTTCACTATGAAGTCTCCATGCGAAATGCATTATTATTCGGGGATCCACATTCCATAACTTCACTCATATAGCACTGAAGTGGAAAACTTCTATTCGTCCTTGCTGAACTTAACATAGAGAATCTTGAGAAGTAATTCTCGTGTTATTAACTTTCTTTTGTTGAAGAGAGGAACAAGGCATTCATAATAGTTTACTTAATGTGGAGTTGCGGTGCAACTCGATGCTCAATAGTATCTATACAAATAAACTGAGAAACGAAGTTTCCCTTACCTTCTGAATAACCTCTCCTTATTCCAACTAAGATAATAACCTTCTTCCACATTTAAGACTGAGTTATGTTAATGAAATCAGAATATTACTGCAATTAAATCTCTTTCCAGAATAAAGGCTACTTGGAAAAATAAGCGTCCATAGTGCTGACGCCTTATGTCTTAAAATAAAAGCAGACTTTGCTAAGTAAATGAAAACTGAAATAAATGATGAAATTGTGCTGTGAATATCAAAAACTACTAAGCCAACTAAGATGATAACATTTCACTAAATAGGCCGACCATACTGGCATGGTATTATGAAAATTCAAAAATATGCGTATAGATTTTGATCTTACTGCCTCCTTTAATCCATGACATTACCGAGATGTCAAGCGACATTTCCTAATACAGGGGCGGCAAATATAACACAATTAAAGTACGTTATGCCGCCGATATAATGTGCGTCAGAAAAGTTTCTTATTGTAAAACTTTCATTTAAAAAGCGCTTAAAAATATAATTTGTCGTTAAACCAACATAGCAGTGGATAACGACGTTGCAGTTAGGGGGGATATGCAGTAAAGCCACTCATGAAGGCAGGACTTCAAGTGAATATAGCGCAGACAGAGATGACGGGGATGACCAACTAACAACAACCAGCACTATTCATTGTCAGCAGAAGTCACATCTTTTTCCTCGCCAAAGCAATATCTTTTTAAATACAGGCAGCACGGATAGTAGTGTGAAAGACAGATTCGGAAAGGCAAGACAGCCCTTCATTATTCTTACACCAGTGTGGGAATCTACTGCATCCAGTGCTTCTATATGATTCAGAGGCTTCGCATGTCGTTGAAAGCACTTTCAATTTTCTGGTGCAGATTTTTGCACACAGCATTCGATGGCAATTTTGAAGGATAAGGGGAGAGGAACCCTTGCAACCAGCCAATCAATAACCTGTCACTCAAGTGTGCAGAAGTAACTACAGATACATTTTACGCACGATGGGAAAACATTGGAGAGACGTCTTGCTCACAGCAGTCCCTCGAGTGGAACTTGAATGAGGAATGATGAGTTGGCCTCCGAGGTTGACATGGAGGAGACAGCTTGAGAAGATCAGAGCTCGTGGACAGTCTTGTAGCCAGATAAAGAGACTGCCGGGAACATAGTGAAGTAGATATGTTATGCTGTAGCCCTTTGTTTCCCTCGGAATCCACTGAAATAATAATAGATTAAAAGACTGAAGTGCCAGACTGAAGAATGCTCCTCAAAGCAGTATTTTTAGCGGATTTTGTTGGAATGGCTTCAGGGGAGACTTAGTAACATATCTGGGGGGAGTAACCTCAGAGGTGGGGTCTCTGAGACTGTGATTGACAGCCATCTCGATAGATGAGCGAAAGTATCTGTTGAGCTTGTTTGCAAGCATGTTCTTTAAATATATAACGGAAAAAAAAACTAATGTTTAGTCACTTTACAAAGAAATTACTCGTGCAATTGTAGTGCACACCCGCTATTTTCAAAGTAATTCATAATAAAAAAATTAAACTAAAAATTTCCCCATAGAAAAACAAAATGCAATGTTCGGTTTGTTCTAGATGTATTTGAATTGTCGTTGTCAAACAGAGATTCGCATTTAGCAGCAGAGCCTTCACCCTAGACTGCTAATCTCCTTGGTGGATATAATATACATTCCACTTACGATGATTTTCAAATGTCTCCGACCCAGGCTAGGCTACCAAGGGACTGGAAGGGTGCAATCATAAGCGACATCTTAAAAGAGGGGAACAGGCAGTTAGTATCTAACTACCGGTCTGTAAGTCTGACCTGCATTATAGCAAAGGTATTAGAAACACCCATAAGGGGTCAGATCTTATACGGAGAAACATGGCTCACTGGCGGTGAAACAGCATGGATTCTGACCAGGGCAATCCTGCCTGACAAACTTACTGATAGCTAGGTAAGGTTGGGTCGAAGCCAGGGATAATAAACATCTGTTGGACGTTGTCTTTATCAGTCTTTGTAAAGCATTCGATAAGGTGTCCCATTTATTTCTTCTTAGTAAACCCAAACGTTTTGGACTAGACCAACGCCTATGTGAGTGGTTTAGTGACTACATGATGGATAGAAGGCGGAAGGTAAGGGTTAATGGTGTACTGTCAGGGTGGAAAGCAGTACTAAGTGGAGTACCTCAGGGAACTGTACCTGACCCCCTGCTACCCCTATTATAGGTTATGAACCGCCGAAAATTCTTACCTCATCTTCCTTATAATTTGCGGACGATATTAAGATATGGAAAACCGTAAATAATGACGATAATAGGCTGGTACTACAAAACGATGTAGATAAATTAGCTGTATGGGCTAACCTCTGGAGTCTGGAGATTAATTCCAAGAAAAGGACTGTAGTGCACCTAGGTCGGAGGTCTTACACGTCATACCCCTGGAGGACACAGAGCTGCTAGATGTTAAGGGACAAAAGGACTTAGGAATTATTGTAAGCCATGACTTAAAAACAACGGCAAATTGTAATCGAGCCGCAGCTAAGGCTTTTCGAATGCTATGGGCACTTCGAAGGGCTTTCAAACGATTAGAAGAGGGTGTGTCTCAAGTACTGTTTGCAACATATATCAGACCTCATCTAGAATACTGCATACAAGCGGTGAGTCCATGCTTAAAAAAGGAGGCACATATCCTGGAAAGAGTAGGGAGGGTAGGAACCAAATTAGTTAGTGGCATCTCACACCTTCCTTATGATAAGAGGATGGAGCATTTAAATCTCTTCCCATTATCATACCGAAGGAAGAGAGGCGACTTAATTTTGGCATACAGTATATTCAAGGATGATTTAGGGATTGACCTTTCAAACGTTTTCTCTCCATCTAGGATATATTTACGAGGTCACCACAAGAAGGTGCTCAGATAGAGGCCGAAAAAACGTGTGGAATTTAGATTCTCTCACAGAGTGGTCAACGACTGGAACTCTTTACTCGATTCAGTAGTAATAGCTCCATTAGTGAACGCTTTCAAAGAGAAACTAGATCTCTGCAGAGATATATATCGCAAGGGCTAACATAGGCAACAAGAACCTTCTATTCTCATAATCTGAATCTGCATCGTCAGAGTTTATTTACCTCCAGAAGTCACTTAAAGTAATGGACATAAATATCTAGTTCCGAATCAAACGGCAAATATTAGTTATTTTCCGAGTATTGTTCAATGAGACTGATATAATCATCTTACCAGGAAGTGATGTGAGGGAAATGCCCATGGCCGATAAATGAAATTTCTCGTGTCTCAAAGGGCTAAACTGATTCTTGAAAATTACAGACAAAATGCTTGGTGTAACTTACTGTGGAATGGTACCAGAAACTTTTCATGATTTGGTGACAATGGATGACAATGTGATTATTTTACATAGTTGAAAACACAACATTATCAAAGTTAACTTTGTTCATCTGCCGAAATAATGAACAATTTATTCATCAGTTAGACTACAAACACTACTTCATCCTGAAGTTGGATACAGTATTACATTTAACAAAAGTTGACCTCTAACGAGTGTTTTTGCATACCGCTACGTTTGAAAATTAGCTAATGGTGGAGGGTTTTACAGTATGGGCTCTCAGTCATCACTGAATGACATATCAAATGCTATCAGACAAGAAATAATACGGTTTGAAAGTGTCCATCCTAATATCTATGCTATATACGATCTTATCGATGCGGTTGATGATAAAAATATAGCCGAGTCATTACGTCAATTAGTTGTATCGATTGAAGGTATTCTATACAGTCGCTGATTTACCTGTATTCTAGATGCTTTTGTCAATAGTCAGGAATGGACTCTAAGTAATGCTGTCCCTGGAATCAAGCTGGTAAGTATATTCCTTATGAGTCATATCATATTCTAGGGATTGCTCGGTTCTGTTCAAAGTGGGAAGTCTGCATTAGTGCATCGATATCTTACGGGAGCCTATGTTCATGATGAATCTCCAGAAGGTGGAAGGTTCAAGAAAGAACTATCTTTAGATAATCAAAGTCACCTGCTGCTGATTCGCGATGAGGGTGGTCCTCCCGATCTTCAATTTAGTCAGTGGATTGATGGTGTTATATTTGTGTTTAGCCTGGAAAACGTCGAAAGTTATCAGATTGTCTACGATTACTATGCTCGCCTTTCGACTTACAGGAACACTAGCAATTTACCTATGATTCTTGTTGGGACCCAAGGTATGTCTTGTCATATTACTCTATTTATTGTTTTAAGATTCTAATTGCGAAGCGTATGTACGAGTAATTGATGACGCTCGAGCCCGAAAGCTAGCCAGTGATCTTAAACGCTGTGCCTACTATGAAACATGTGCAGCTTATGGTTTGAATGTAGAACGGGTTTTCCAAGATGGTAATTAAAATTTACTTTAATTTATGCTATAGCATGCCTAAAAATACTTCAGTTAAGGAATTCTAGTAATTCGCCTGTTCCAAGACCTCTTACACCACAGTTATCATCAAATTCACAACAAAGGCCATGTGCTAACAGTCCTGTTGAGGGTGTACCTCTGGTGGGCATAAGTCAGTCGCAACAATCACTATTTTCTAACGCTGTTAATGCTCGGGAAGGTCCTACTATTGTGAAAAACCCTGTAAGTCCATTCATTTACGTACTTCACAAATTAACATAAATGGTTTTTTAATCTCTTCGTGGCCATTTCTTTTGGTATTTTATGTTTATGATCACATCAACGGTTGTTTGGCATTAATATTTGTAGCAGTACATATTTTTGGTTTAAATCCTATTGTAATTGTTCCAAGTATTGAACATCCTATTGTGATTTATTAATTTGGATTTATAATGAATACCGTTCGGCCTTTTGATTGAGTTGCTAAAACTACTAGTACAATTAACCCGTAGTTAAGATTCCCATCGTGATCGTGAGCTATTCTCACTCCTAGTTTTCATGCACATTCTATAATTGTGTGAGTTTGTGGTAGTTAATACTTTTTTATTGGAGCAATATGTTACAGCGTCATTTCCACTTACGGTAGTGTCTTTATTACATCAGGTTTCAGATTGATAGGTCGTATTTGTTATTTCAAAGTGAAATGCTCTCCAGATTTTCGGTTCATAATTATTTTTAATGTCACTAAGAAGTATGTTGACTCACGAATTAAATTTTCATACTGTTTTTATTGGAATATTTCAGCCTTTTGCAGTCACCATCAGACAACAGTGTTCATTTCATTTACTGTAAAATGTTCGTAATTATACAGGTACATAAAGTTTCCTAATGTTATTTGCGAGCCTTTCATAATTTAGAACTATCATCGGTACCAGCATTACTTTCCGCTATCCTAAATATCATACATTGAAAAATCCGTCCTACTATGTTTCGCAAAATGGAGTCTTATGTTATTATCGTCTTAAAATGGATGTGTGTGTATCTTTGACATCTGAATATAGTTTAGACCAGTGGAGCGTAATTTGGAGGTTGCATTTTCATCACCATCTGTTCGACTCGGGTCGTGTAATTAAAGCTTATTACGTGTTAGACATTTGTAAGGCCTCTCCATGGAGCTCATTACAGAGGCATTTCGTAACGGTTGTGAAACTGAATAATCTAACCATTTGGTCGTGAGTAACTGCGTACTGTCTAATGATGTGAAATTAAGCTATCATGCAAAACATGGCCTGTTATAGTATCTCATGGTCCTCCGTGCTCTGTTTTTATTAGTAATCGTCCATGTCAGTACTGACGCCAATTTTAGTTTTGTACCAGCTCAATGGTTTTCTTCATTTGCCATGATTGCGTCATACTTAAAGCATTCGTATTGTCAGCATTAATTGAGTAACAAAATTCTAAATGACCTGAATAATTGATTTCACTACTAGAACTGTTATCATGATTAGAAGTTGAAACTACTTTATTTAGTAGGGTTATATAGTTATTAAGTGATCTGTTTGTGGGTTCCGAATGATAAGCTATGGTGTTTTTATATCGTGGGTGTACTGGTCAAATGTTATCCATAGTGCGGTTTGTTGTCATTTGACTCAGCGGTGCGACACTGTCGAGATCTATGATCACTAATTCGATGCCTAGTGTAAAGAATCAGTATGTAGAAAACCTTGTGTGACCAGTACTACTTGAGTGTTCCCACTTACAACCTTCAAGAAATTCATATTTCCGAAGCTCTTTAGATTGGTGAGGTATATTATTTCAGGACTGAGTGATGAAGACCTCTCGCACGCAATACTAGGTTCGATAGCTTTTTTATTGTAAATTGATCATCCTAACTTTCTGTGATTAGGCCTATGAGGCAATCGCTTTTGTTTTTTCTATTGTCATATCAGGAGAACAAGCGTGAAACTATTACAGTGGAAAATTTAATGTCACAATCCTTTTTATATATTCCAATCTTCCAAAACACAAGTATGCTCCACATGTGCAATCACCGTCTTTTAATATTTCCTTGAATTAGTCATCTTTGTTGTTCTCTGACTGCGATGTATAACAGTCGACTTAGGAAATCCTTCAGTTTGCGTCCTGAGATGTTATGTTACTGACACTAGTATTAGTCATATAAATCAGTTGTTCATAATAGGACTTGTTTGTGAGTCTTTAAGGCCCTGCGAGGTGAACCCGGAAAAATATAAAATAACTATTTATACTCATTTTTCGGATCCATCTTATTTAAGTATTGTGTGACAGGTATCTAAAAACGGTCTTGACGTGTTCTTTGGGTGTTGCACATTATGGAATACGGACATTGCTGTTGTGTTCAGTGTGGTTTTCTTGATGAGACGGTGTGAAGTAATATCATAAATGCATCTTATGGTTATCAATTTATCTTGACTTCAATGTTTTAGAATTCTAGAGTATTTAGAAGCAAATTTACGTTGGAAAAAATATAAATCTAAAATTATGCAACGTTTATGGCTAAATTTAAGGTCTATCAAACTTTGTGGTACTTCTTTGTTGTATGTTTTTACCAAATAATAACTGTGGAGTATTCTTATTTCCTATGTAGTAAGCATTTTTTGAGGTGTTATTTGTGTTCTCTAGACTTCTGTAGAAGTGTTTATTATTTATATTTATCAAAACACAATCCTGATACATTCTGGGCACTGTGAAATGCGCCACACAGAATCTCATAGTTTTTACGAGGGCTGGGATACTGCCCAGCCCCTCCAGACTGAAGCAGATGGTTGTTTTATGGGGCCGCTCCCTCCAAGACTTTTATTTGAAGTCTGATCCACAAGGCACTGTAGAAGCGTCAGAAGCTGCGTTAACTAGACTCGACCTTTTCGTCTTTCTTTCACCTTTCCTTTATTTTCTTTCTGTTGGATTTTTTCTTCTATGATAATCAATCCTCGAGACAACGATATCTTGCGTAAAATTGTTTTCTCGGGGTTACCAGGTCTACTTTCTATGTTTTACTTCCAGGGTGCTAACTGTAATGTGGCTAATAATTGTATCACAAGTGGCCTGGATAAGAAAGAACGAACAGTACTCTCACCACATAATCCTGCAAATCGTCGTCCAGATACTCATAGCAATCCTGGCTTTGAATTTGATTTCAATGAAGTAAAAATCTGATTTGTATTTTTGAATTACTCATCTTGTCTTGACACTGTTTGCTGTCAATTTTTTCTCTTGCAGTTGTTGAAATGACTAACTTTTTATGAACCTGAATGTATGTTTTTATTGTATACATAGGCTCACTCAGTATCAGTAAGGAATAGCTGTTTATACTGCTGGTTCGTGTGTTCACAATAGGTCTCTAGATGTATTTTAATCTGTGGAAATATACATGAGGGTCATTCAGATATCAATGATGCTAGATGGTTGGAGGTAATCGGCAGGGATCCCTTAACTTAGGACTCATCCTTGTTGACACTCGTCAGCAAGACGTGTCTTCAGTCTTAAGAGAACTCATGCCTCTTCTCGCGTTTGAACTCGCCTTAATCAGTACCAGAGTCAGAGACATGGGCTATTCGAGCTCATGATTAACGATAACCAAAATACAAAAAACCTAGGTCAGAAAGGATTTCCTGTCGATTGCCTCCAACCGTTTAATATCATTTCAGGGTGCACTGTAACGGCAAGCCACCTAGCTTGTTGGTGACCATATTATTGCAAACTTGAACTTTTTAGAATTTAGTCTGTACCATCATTGAGGACTAGTTGCATAACAATGGTTACTGCAGTTTTGCGCTATGAAAGTTGTGGACTTAAGAAAAATAATCCACTTACTTCTCTTGTATACTTATTGTGCAGTTGCAGTGTTGTGTACATTTGGCAACTGTATTATTGTAAATTGGCTTTGTATTAATACTCTCTTAATTAAATAATCTGTAGGCGAAATCTTCTAATGCTGTTGTTTTTTTTCTTTTGATGTGGGTTTTTGTGTCACATTGTTTTTGTCCAGTTTTCAGTTTTACAGATGTTTTTGTTTTTTGTAATATAGGTTTTTTAGTATTTTGCAATAGTTAATTATGCCAGGACATTTAGTTTTGCCAAAAAAAGAAATATCTACATAGTTTATACACCTATTGGTTTAGTCATTTTTAAAGAGAGAAAGTGAGTGAGAGAGAGAATGATGTACACAAAGAGTATTTTACTAATTTCAAAGTGTTGGAAATCATTTGAAGTTGTTTGCCAATAAAATGCTTTATTTTATCATCTCTTAGGATTCCGGTTTACATCAAACACTTGTGAATTCAGCAAAGCCTAATCTCTTAAGTCTTGCAAAACACTCATTGACTTTGGATTTTCGACCCTATGAACGGGAACATTTCTTCGGGGGAGGAGGAGCAGGAGGAGATATGAAACCAGTTAGGCCTAGTATCACTTCTGTAGACTCTACTGCTGATGATTGGGCTACTCATCCTTTTTTGTTCGATGGAAAATATCAACACCCCCTGTTACGCTGTCCAGAATACATACCGACAGAATACTCAGAAAGTGTCTTCCAGTCGTATCCACTACACATGTATTCAGAGTACTGTAGTAGTAGTGGAAAAGCTTTGTATCCACCGACTCCATCTTTATCTTCCGTTGCAAATTCTGAAAATGGTTCAGTAATAAGAGTCTCCACACCACAGTCATTCTCTGCACCAACACATTTTACTGTTGGGCATTCTCCACCACCAGCAGCACCACCACCACCACCTTCGGTTTCACCAAATTTTCCATCAGGTGCTCTTGCTGCAGCTAGTAGTGTCTCGTCTTTTGGATTGGGGGTTGAAGGAGGAGGAGCAGGAGTAGCTGTAAGTCTTGTGCTGAAAACAAAAATGGAACGCATGCTCACCAGTTTTCTTCTTCTTCTGCTTCTTCCCCTCCCTCCCTCCTTGCACGCGTTGTTCTTCGCTTGATTTTAGACTGAATTAATTTTCAGACTGACTGCAATCTGTCATCCACAATAATAATAATGCTATTTGGTTATTATTATTATTATCATCATCATAAACATGATTTGCATTTGGTTTTTCTCAGCATGATTCATCAAGCAACCAAAATCATTCTTTTCTGAAAAAATTCCCCCCTAATTTTATATCATATGAATATTTAGTTGTTAAAAAATATAGCTGCTTACTTACTAGCTTGCACGGCTTACGACTTTATATAAATAAATAAATAAATAAACAAATAAATCTCAAACAAGATATATCCATCCTTTTAAAAATATTTTTCTGTTTCTAATTTAGGAAAATAATAAGGCTGAAAATAACGAATCTCTTACACCTAGCAGTACTCCAACACATTCACGAAAGAATAGACGAAAATCCAATCTATTTGTAAGCTGTTGTTTTTTAAGACTTTCTTTTGTTATCATCTATCTGTGCGTTTTTGGGTTTTGGATTTTAATGAGGTGTGGGTGGGACCGTGGGACATGGGGGGGGGTGAAGCGGGTTGATACTTGCCTATGAGAGGTGTCTTATTATCAGGTGAATGTTGACCTTTTTCAGCGTATATTTTCGTTACTTACCCCAAAAATAAATTCTAATGGGCTAGGTGTTGTTGTATACTTACTGTTTACTGGTATCCTTTTCTTGTGACCACTCTGAATAACTGACAAGTGTCAAAGTTATTGCATTAGAAATATGATATTAAATTCATTGTACTAGGACTGAGATACTATGCAGACGCAGAGACGCGTGCTGGTGGTTGTCTTAAAGCGTCGCCTCATCCCCCAAACCGTTGACTTGAAATCTGATCTACAAGAGAGTACAGCATCTTCACGAGTTGCGTTCCCATGGTTTTCGGTGACCGAAACAGGTTCGTACGTCATTCAACCCTCTCAAATTCTGGAATCTATGTACACTACCATAGGTTTGGACTCAGCGTTTCCCAACTGTTCTCGGTAGGTCAGCGTGTTCATCAGTCTGGTGTTTAAAAGCTCCAGACGTTTCGCATTCACCCTTTTACTTTTGTGAGGAACACCTGGGGCGCGTGAAGTCAGTGTGAATAAGACTTACCTGGCTGAGGCTATGAACGCATGCAAAGTCTTATGAGAGCATTTTGTGAAAGAAAGACTGAAGTCTGTCGACTCTCTTCCCTACCAGGTTGTTTATGGAGGCAAATTCACTGTGAACAATCGCATAGAACAATTTTGTGTAATAATTTTCTCCTTTATCACTTTTTTCGTAATGTCCCATTGTTTTTATAAAGTTAAAAAGCATATTTGCTTGACAGATGAGTTAATATAATTCTAAATATATCTCCATTTTCATTTCATGATGCATAATGTATGAGGTCGTTCTTGAAAGTTATTATCTGGTTGTAAATCTCTCATCATAGCGCTTAATAATATTAGGTGGTTGGAGGCAATCGGCAGGAAGCCTTGGACTTAGGTTTCGTGCTAGTTGGCACTCACCAGTCAGCAAGACGTATCTGCAACCTTGAAGGAATTCATGTCCCTTCTGAGATTCGAATCCGTGTCACCGAAGAAAGACTGAACCCGCGCCATCAAGTGCTGCCTGCATTCAGAGACGTTACCACTGAGCTATTCGGGCTCGCGATTGATCTCCTGTAGGACTGCAGTGGATACTTTGATTGGACACTAGTAACTAGTGCGATGTGTCTAGTCCTTTCTTCGGTGACGCGAATTCGAATCTCAGAAGAGGGACATGAGTTCCTTCAAGGCAGTTGCAGATACGCCTTGCTGACTGGTGAGTGCCAACTAGCACGAAACCTAGGTACCCAAGGCTTCCTGTCGATTGCCTCCAACCATCTAATATCATCAAATCAATGTGCACCGTTATGGCGAGCTTCCTAGAATAGTGGCTACATTGCAACTGATGACAATTTGCATCGAAGAAAGGACTAGACACATTGCACTAGTTACTAGTGTCCATTCGAAGTAATAATATATTCACTATCAAATATCATAGAATAGCTTAGGCAATATGAAATATAAGAATAGTTACTACGCAGAGAGATAAATCACTCATTTTCTAGGAAGATTGACTTCAACTGTGGCGCATTGGTTTAAGCATTCCATTCCCAACTGCTGGTTTACACGGGTTAGAAGCCCGTTCCTCCCACACTGATATATAGGTAGTAGTCGGTCAGTATCATTAAGCCCTATACAAGTAGGTAGGGTCTATTGTCAGTTATATGAGAATACAAGTGGTTGTTGAAATGTTCAATAAAAGATTGTATTTTAACCCGATCCATTTAGGAACTTAATATCAACCAATAAGACTATGTTACCTGATACGATTCTGTTGGGACTTATCTTGTTCTAGGCCAAATCCTGTCATTAGTTTATGGTCATTTGTTTTGAGCTGGGTTGAGTTCAAAAACCCTTTTAGCTGCAAAATCATATGCTTAAATCAGGGAGCTTCAACGTCATCATGTGTTTTAACTTGTCAACTCACTTATTTTGTTCAGCCTTACCGCTCATAGAATATGTGGAAGTTGACTTCCACTTTTGAAGCTTATATAAACTGGATTTTGTTCTTACCTACCACCTTTACAGCGTTTGTCTTATTCTTTGGGATTATTTATCCCATGATTTTCTTCAGTTTCCATTCTTTCTTGTTGTTTTAATCATTCTATGCATTTTTTTGATGTCATTCAGTTTACAAAGAGTTAGAAAATTGTTTACTTTTGTGCAAGTTAATGAGGAGAATGTAATGCAGTATTTTGCTGTATTTGTTGATGTGTGGTCCATTGGCTAATGGGAGTCGAATTTCGGCTAGTGAGTCCCTAGGTCCGAGCCCCGTCTCACGTACGTCAGCCTAGCCAACTGGGTAGTATCACCAGCCCTCACACAATAAGTGTAGCTCTTAGTTCGGATAGCTGAGTTCTAGCTAACCGTACATAATAATAACGTTATTCTGAAAAATGCGTCGGTGGTTCAGCCGTATGGCGCTTGCCAACCACCGACATGGTCAGGAGTTCAATTCCCGGCCGACGCACTCCCAAACCTCGCTCAGCCCGTAGTAAACCGGGTAAGGAGGGGAGCTTTGAAGTCTCAGTAGCTGTCGTGGTACTATTTTTACGGGGAAGGGGGTTGCTAGCCTAACTTTCAACCTTACGTCCTTACCAGCCTTACTGCCACCGGCTCAGCAGTGACGTTCAAGAGTAGTGCGTCGGCGGCGGCGAATCGAATCCGGACCGCGTACGTGTGTGGTTAACGAGCGTTCTATCATTTGAACCATCGACGCGCCTATAGGCATATTTATACTGTCACTGTAGCTGTAAACAGGATTCACTGATCACACATACACTGATGAGTTTCATACAGCACAGGAAAAGTACTATGCAAAACCATTATCTGCTTTTGAAATTAATGACTGACTCATAAATGTTTACTTTACTGGAAGTCTTGCGCAAATTAAAGCTAAAAAACCAAAAGAACCTAAAATGAATAGCTTTAGTTATTTCTTATCTGTCTATCAACTTGATAATTTTTGAAAACAATTTGCATTTCTTCCCATTTTCATCTGGCACTAAACTCCATTTAATTTTTGAAGTGACGCTAACTATCTGATATTTTCACTAATATTATGTACTGTGGAGCTGTGGCTTCCTATTTCTGAGCGCTCAACTTCCAATCACGGGTTCAAACCCAGATCCACTTATCACTGAGGTTTGGGCAACTAGGTCAGGTACTATCACTAGCCCGCATATAATAGTTGTGAGCGCTCATCGCTAACTGCATGGAGTCGTGATTGATAGTTGTGGTATGCAGTCTCATTGGTTGTAGAAAGTTTTGCAGCAAAGGCCGATACCTAGATATCCCTCAGTTGGATGGATTACCCTGTATTGTTTTTTGTTTGCTTTTGTTAATTTATTGCATTATGCACATGGAAATCATCTTTCACTTACGCATAGTGCACCTATTCCATTGGCTTCATTTTTCATTGTATAATTATACACAGCGGTTATGCCATAATAACTAGATGATTTATCTTTACAGCCATCTATATGCGGTTATACACACACTTCTTGCTGTATTTCTCACTTTTTTCTATTTTTTTTATTTTCCCGCTCAAATTCCAGCAAAAACGTAACGACGATGAACGAGAAAGAGAAAAGAAGTTGAATGGGATAGGAAGTGGTCGTGCTATCCCTTTGAAACAAGTGAGTGCACAGACAAGCTTTACAATTTGCAATAATACAAGATATATATAGGTTTGTATTTTTAATATTTTTTTTTATTGTGCGTTGAATTCTCTGTAGCAGTTTGGTTGGTTTTCTGGGGGTAGGGTCGCTAGCCCCACCCCCAACTCCCCCTCTTTACCCGGGCTTGGGACCGGCTGGAAAATTAGCGAGCTAGTAAACTAGGCGAAGGAGATGAGAGATTCTGGACAATCTTGGACCCAGCTGGAGAGGATAGTAGAAAATAGAACCAAGTAGAGATGTTCCACTTGGAACCCAAGGGAATAATAACAATATACATATATATTCAGTATTAAATAAGTGCCTATCTTCCTTTTAGATCCAGTCTTCTTTTAAGCCTAAAAACCACCGCATTTTGTCTTATTTTACAATCTGTTGAGAATCTATAGTTTGTAAAACTAAATGTCAAGTCAGTATGTTGTGTATGTGTGTGGTTCAGGGACTTGGTGAGCGCACGCGTCAGCGAAAGTATTATCAACAGATCATTGCAGAGTTTTATCAACAACTGGAAATCGGATGACCCGAAAGGGTAAACTGCAACGAAGTTTAGCTGGCAGCAGATCAATCAACAATCTGCTGACCAACAAATATCCAAGAAAAAAATGTAGGTGGGTTGTGGATAATATGTTGTGGAGACTTCCAAGTTGGAAAAACACACACCGACTAGACTGGCCTTCGAATGGAACCTGAATAGGAAACGAGGAGTTTCGTCGCCGATGGTGCAACATGGAGGAGATCGTGTGTGATGAGGAAATTGACGCCTGTGAACAGCTGTGGATGGGACCAGCTAAAAAAGATGCCGGAGAACAGAGTATACAGTGCAAATGTTGTGCTAATGTATCCATGTGTAATAATATAAACATATGAAAACTATATCTAATGTATTCGCTTGCTTTTAAAAGACATCTGATGGATCTAATAGTTAATGTCATATGTTAGAGTCGTATTAGAATGATATACTTACATTACAAATGAAATTCGTCTTAGATGCGTTTAAAGAAGGATAATTTTTATTGCCAATATTAACACGAATTTGATGTAAAACAGTTTTCAATTGAGTAAAATTTGTCATCTAGTGTGGCATGTTCATTTTGTTGTCAGAATTGAAATGATTATTCCCTTGGGTTCCGATTACAACAGAAGGGACTTTAACAGGACATCTGCATTTCACTCAGTTCTCTGCAGTCTTTTACAAGTGGTTTTACAATTGCCTATAAGCTCACATTTCTTCCTTTTGTGATCTACCTGTCACCATCGGACCCATGCCCCCACCTCGTCATCTCCCACTCTAAGGTCTGGAGCATGATTTCTCTTAACAGTTTCCTCAGTGTACGTCCAATGCATGTACATTTTCTTCTGCATACTTCTTGGGCGACAGGTTGTTGGTGGTGGGTTGGTTGTTTCGTTGCTGGAGTTCCTGGTTTCTAATCCTTTCTGTTTTCCGTCATCTAATGTTCAGTACAGAGTCAGCGAAGGCATCTGTTTATCAAAGTATGCGGTAGGCTGTTGGAAGTTCTTAACCTGAGGTGCACACACGAAATCTCTGAATTATATGGAATCACTGAGTCTGTCTGTCTGCTTTTGACATAGAACTTTGCACCGATGTGCAGCAGTTCAAATCGCCACACTCTATGTAGCACACAAAGCAAGAGAAGAAAGTAAAAAAGAAATGCGAAGTAGAGACAGTAGACAAGGATATGAGAGAAAGCAATAGTAATATCGAAGAACAATATACTTTCATTGGAAATTATAAGTCACAAGTCTCTAGCCATTGGTTTTTACCGTCCCGAGGACCCCAACCAGTCAGGAAGTCTACACCTTCCTACATGGCTTAAACTAACTGTTGTGGATTTCATTGACTGGTGCCATGTTTTGGCTTGACCGCCGCTAGCTCTTTTCCAGCCTGGCCCTATATCAGCTAACATTGCCCGTCGAGGAAGGCGACGACTAGGCATAAGTAACACATGTCCTAACCATCTCAGTCGATGTAATTTCACAGTTTCGTCGATTGATTTCCCCGCCTTACCTAGCACTCGACGCCTAACCTCAATATTTCACTGAGTAAATTGACATAAGTGTTGAAAATCTGCATCTTGTTCCTCATGCTAAATGCATCAGATTTCCATACTGATTTTAGCCTAATGAAGGTTTGTATCACTTTTCCTATCCTGCCTGCAGTTGACATTCCTATCAGTTCTCTCTGTACTTGAAACGAAGCAGCTGCCATGATAGATAAGTGAAAGAAGTGACTTCTCTCAAATTTCTCCCATTGACTGCAATTGGTGCATGTTGTTCTTGTTTTTTTAGGTTGGATACCGTATTACCACCGTCTTCTCTGTGTGTGTTCACTCGAAGTCTTGCCTTAACAAGTCGAATCATATTTTATAATATCTTGGGAAATTGCTTTTTCCGGCATTTATATTGTCAGATTAATTTTGTCATTTTATTTTTTCAAATTGTTGATTTATCTTTCTTCTCACTGGTTATAAAGCATCGTTTTCGGAGGTTGTTTGTTGTTTATTTGTATTATCCCTTCACGTTTTGAGTGGAATACACAGCTTCAAGCTTGAGCTCTGATGTTTCAATAGCAGTGGTTATTCATTTCTATGGGGTGGAGTTGTGCTTGCCTGACCGCCCTAAGCCTCTCTCGTAATCGGTCTTACTACTGGCTAAGCAAAGTGTTTTAAGAGTACTTCGGCTGGAGATCGAATTCCAGAGCATTTCAGTGGTTGGCAAGCATTCTGCTGCTGAAAAGAATGCGAAAGGGGAGTTCTTTTGCGTGTACGAATGTTTGGCATGCGATTCGCTCCCGCCAAATGTAAGATGATGTTACAGGACTGGACTACACTGACTCCTAGCTTAGAAATAGGGAGTGAAGTGGTGGAGCGCGTTGACCGCTTCACTTATTTGGGAAGTTGCATCAGCCAGCCCAACGGTTGATCGCTGACAAAATCTCAGCACGGATACAGAAAGGCTCGTTTCGCATATGCCAGTTTACGTCGTCTCTGGCGTAGACGTGATATCCGGCTGGCTGTCGACCAAAGGGCGTGTGTACTGCTCAGCAGTCCGCTCCGTCCTCCTTTATGGCTGTGAGACCTGGTCATTGAGAGTGGAAGACATGAAAAGCCAGGTTAGCTGCCTTTCATCATAGGTTTCTGCGTTCTATCTCCCGTGTGAAGTGGTATAATGGAGTGAGTAATATTGAGGTTAGGCTTCGGTCGAGTGCTAGGTAAGGCGGGGAAATCAATCGACGAGACTGAAATGGTTAGAACATGTGTTACGTATGCGTAGTCATCACCTTCCTCGACGGCCAACGTTAGCTGACAAAGGGTCAGGCTGGAAAAGAGGTAGTGGTGGTCAAACCAAAACATGGCACCAGTCAATGAAATCCACAACAGTTAGTTTAAGCCAGCCAGCCAGTCACGTAGGAAGGTGTAGACTGTCTTTTTAGTTGGGATCCTCGGGATGGTAAAAACCAATGGCTTGAAACTTGTGACTCATAATTCCCAATGAAAGTATATTGTTCTTCGTTATTACTATTCCTTTTGTCTCATATCCCTGTCTACTGTCTCTATTATGCATTTCTTCTGCTTTCTTGTCTTGCTTTGTGTGCTACATCGAGTGTGGCGTCTTGAACTGCTGCACATCGGTGCAAAGTTCTATGTTGAAAACAGACAGACAGACAGTATGTGTGTGTGTGTATGTGCAGACTTTGTAATTTGTAATCTTTTATTCAATTATTTTCTTTTTCTGGTTTTGTTTCTCAGGGATTTTTATACAAACGAACTTGTAAACCATTGAGCAAAGAATGGAAAACAAAGAAGTATGTGACTTTAACTGATGATGCTCGTCTCACTTATCATCCAAGTATTCATGTAAGTTGTCTATTTTCCCTCACTTAAATCAATCAGTAGTATGTGCAGTCTTACGCATTTATGCTTGCTTTCTTGATTGCCTTGTATGCTATCAAACAAACTACGTAAACTCTACTGTGGTGTGAATAATTTTGGTTTTGTAAGGAGAAACTGATGAAAAATAAGATCCGGATTTTCAACTCCAATGTGAAGTCAGTGCTACTTACTGTATGGATCAGAGACTTGGCGCCGCATCACGAAGGGCACTTCAAACAAACTACAGACCTTCATCAACAGCTGTCTTCGCTCAACACTACTCAAGATCAGATGGCCGGCCAGAAAAGATCAGCAACAGGGATCTCTGGTAATGAACGAACCAACCCAGCAGGAACCAATTGTGCAACAAATATGCAGGAAGAAATGGAGGTGGATCGGTCATACTCTGAGAAAACAAACCAAGTGAGTGACACCACACGCCAGGCCGTCGCTCGAGTGGAACCCGAACGGGAAGCGTCGAGTTGGTCGTCAGTGCGAGGGTGACATGGAGGAGGTCATGCGAAGAGGAGATGAAAACATGTTGGCAGACGTGGAGCCAGGTGAAAACGTTGGTAGAGAACTGAACGCAGTGGAGACGTGCGCCTGAAGCCTTATGTTCCTCTAGGAATTAAAGGAAACAATAATAATAAAGGATAAACTGTAAAAGGCGAAAGATTTATCCGCAAATGAGGAGACACCAGAGTTCTGATTGGTGTTTATTTTTTGTGGTACTCTGAATGTTAATTGGATAGAAATCTGCAAGGTGTATATTTATCATACAGGACTCTTAATTCTCAATCATTCCAAACAATATCCAACTTCTCTTCTGGCCATTGAAATGACAAAGTCTTGTTAGAGATTGCTACCCCCAGTAGAGGTATACTGATACTTGCAGGGTCGAATTTCGAATATCCGCTTGTTATTCATAGATGTTCATGTGCATTGATACAAATATGTATCCTCAAACCTAACAGTATCGTTTTGCTTCGTTCCCTATTCGCCTTGACCCGAATATGAAGTCGTCTAATATTCAGGAATAGTTCTAAAAGCTTACTTTCCTATATATATGTAAGAATTGTTTGTATAAATCTCAGCGAGATTAAAATAAATAATTACGAACGTTTCGCTCGACAAATTGACCTGGGCTTCGGGGGAATGATCGTAATTAAGATACCAAACGTATTTATATACATAAAAGATTCATTTTCACATTAAAATCCTTGTCTAGTCATGAGTGGTCATCAAACACAGGGAACAAATTGCAAGTAGTGTGATCAAGATTTAACCAGATAGCTTCACAATACTACTATCGGTCTATTTTTTTTCTACAGCGGGATTGTTGATTTCAGTCTCCCTGAGATTCATACAAATTTAATTTCTACAAATGTTTGCTTTTCAATGTGTACCCAATTATTATGGGGCCATTCGCTCAAGTCTTCATCAGAATTCATTTGAACTTCTTTTTGGCAGTTACAGAATTCCTGTCCGATCGAAACTTCCCTCTTAAGTGAGACTGACGGACTATAACCGTATGGATGTGCGTCGGTGGCACAGCAGTAGAATGCTCGCCTACCACGCATGTAGTCCGGGGTTCGATCCCCAGCCGACGCACTCCTCCATTTCCTCACTAAACCAGTAATAAGACTGGTAAAGAGGAAAAGTTGGGCATGAGGCGGCTAGCAACCCCATCCCGTAAAAATAAACACTACTGCTACCTAAACTTCAAGCCTCTAGCTTGAAGCCCTATGTTCCATTGGGGACTTAAAGGATTAAAAAAAGGAGAAACTGTGGTGAATGTGTAACAACAGAAGATAAGGGCCAGACAACAGGTCGTTTATTAAGGAAATCAACACATATTTATATATTTTCATGTACATTATTATAGATTATTGTTAGCAGAAAAACACAGTCTTCTGATTGGTGGTTTCTCACTGAAAGTTAATCTTTCATCTCTTTGTGGCTGTTTCTTGAAGTTCAGATCATCTATCTGCTAATTGTATCCGCCTACGTAAAGTCTGCTGTGATTGCTTGTTGAGTCAGTCTTTGTTCTTATTTTTCTCATGACCAATATTTGGGACATAAATATTGACGTAAATTACTGTCTACCAATTTGGCTAACAGCCAGCTCTCACCACAAATGTGTTCACCTTCTCGAATTGTGTAAATTTCAAATTGTGAATTCGGGTTTACGGTGTTACCAGTTTATCCGAGTAGCCAGCCAGCCAGTCAGAAATCGGTTGTTTTGAACTGATTCGGCTTTCTGAGATGAGCGAAACAACGACCCTCAAGTGTTAAGATCACTTCGATTTGGCTGTCTAACAAGCACTACTGGTTGATTTGAGTAGTTTACAATTACACATCTCAATCAGTCAGTAGTATTATAGTCTTATTCTTTTCTGTCTCTTTCAACTAGCCTTCCTGTGACGGATTGTTTAAATGTCTTGTAAAATTATAAATGACCTTGTTTTGATCCAGTAGTAGTAACGGCAACTAACAAGATGTACTTGGTGTCTGCCAATCATGCTGATGTTGATCCTGTGGCGAAATACTTTTCTTTTCGCCTTCAGTACTATTCAACTATGGAGATTCAGCAGCAGTTCTTTGACGAACGATTTATTTTGATTACAAATTTTATGGGGATTGAGATTGATTTCCTTGTAGGTTCTGTCACAAATCATCACATCAGTTAGAGAATCACTGAGAGCCAGGGAGCACTGGACGGAGAGCTTTTTCGTCCTAGTGTGGGACTCTTCAGCACCGCGCCACTACCCATGGCCTCCCTTAATGAGGGATGTGAACCAAAGCCTTCAGGTATTAGAGCATCTGGTTGAACATTTAGCCATCGTGACATAATCTGAATGTCATTCTGTTCTCTAGATCACTGGGGACTGCCGGGTCGATGTCTTCAATGCCTAATGAGAAGTCATGGTCGGTGGGATGCACCATGTCAGAGTGAATTTGATTGTTCATCAGCGACACTAGTTGTTGATGTAGCTTTAAATTTCATTGAATTCCACCCCAAGCGTCTGACTGACTGGTCAGCGAACTGACCCCGACAACTTGATGACTCTGGGTTCGATCCGTGGTTGCTGGTTCATGAGTGCGCGCTGCTGAAGGATCCCAGACTTGGGGAGGGGGAACATCTGCACAGTACTCCCTTGTTTTCAGGGATTCTCTAACTGGTGTTAGTTTCATGACGAAATCTGAATGGTAGCGCGTCGAGTCTCTGAATTATATAGAAACATTGATTTGATATTAGTGTTGAAAATTTGGATCTTGTTCCTTGTGCTGATCACAACAGATTTCCACACTGTTTGTCTTGCTTCACTAATTAGTCATCAATTTTTCTTTGATGAAACGGTCAATTTTGTATCTAAAAGTGTAGGCGTTTGAGCTGGTGGCCACCTTCACAAAATTTTCCGTTGGTATATATATATGTTTTATTGCTGAAGCTGACATTTATAAAGGTAGTCAGAATGTTTCTTTTAGTTATGTGTGGGAACTACGTACCATTCTGTGGAATGTCTGTCTGTTTTCGACCTAGAACTTTGCACATATGTGCGGCAGTTCAAGTCGCCACACTCCATGTAGCACACAAAGCAAGAGAAGAAAGTAGAAGAAATGCATAATATAGACAGTAGACAGGGATATGAGACAAAGGAATAGTAATAACGAAGAACAATATAGTTTCATTGGATATTATAAGTCACAAGGAGTGGATGCATCTGCATCAGCCATTGAGAACGATCACTTTGAGCCATGTCACCGATTGTTTCCAGGCATTGGTTTTTACCGTCCCAAGGACCCCAACCAGTCAGGAAGTCTAAACCTTCCTACGTGGCTTAAACTAGCTGTTATGGATTTCATTGACTGGTGCCATGTTTTAGTTTGACCGCCGCTAGCTCTTTTCCAGTCTGACCCTATGTCAGTCAGCTGACATTGCCCGTCAAGGAAGGCGATGTCTAGGCATACGTAACACATGTCCTAACCATCTCAGTCGGTGTAACTTCACAGCCTCGTCGATTGATTTGATTCTGTGGAATTGAAAATGTTAGTTAATGAGTAACTTCCCTATTTGTGTAGAAGGCTATTTGTGAAGCAGTCTAACATATACGCACATACACCTTTTTGTTTGGTAATATTTTTATTCCTGAGTGTTCCCCTCGTATATATATATATATGTAGTGAATGGTATTACAATTTTAGAAATATTTTAGTCTAGTGGTGTTTAGCAGTGTATGCTCCATTCCATAACACTTCTTTGTCCAACACATACCTGAATGGTGTTAACCTCATTATCACTCACCACACAACACCAAATCCTAATGATGTTATCCACGCATAATGGTCTCAGTGGTGCGAACATGATTAGCACAGGCCACACATCCACCGCACTCCTACCTACACTTTCATGAGTGAGGGAAACACAGACACAAGATTCTGACGGATCTATCAAATGGGAGGCAACAGTATCATAATAGTTCTTATGATGATCATAAATTAGCTAATGCCTTGAAACACTACACAGATTACACCCGCTCGCACACACACACACACACATATACAACAGACAATCTTAACATCCAATTAGCGATTGACAGTTTACGCAGTTCAAGGCGAAACTTCACCATAGTTACCCTTGCACACCAAAATTATTCACAACATAATGTCACCAATTTGATACCATAAATAGCATTTCAGAGAACACGCATAAAACCATGATGGTAGATACTACTGAGAGGTTGGGATGAGTAGTTGAATACCAACCAGAGGGCTGTTTCGCTCGCTTTTGCTTAAACTCAGCAGTAGCAGCAGCAGTGTACCCGATTCACAACGTCCAAGTAGCTGCCCAAAAAGTCGGGATGGATCGAAATAATTTCACTCTCAGAGACGAGCTCCTCTCAAAACGAGATAAAACAGCCGTCAAGTATGTAGTAAATCACTTCAATCTGGTTAACAAGCACTACTACTGCGACTACTACTCA